GAAATGGCTAAAAGCACAGGTGTTGGACCTGGCTCAAGTCCAGATCATGTTTAGCTGTACATTCTTGGGCAAATTATTCAAAGCCTTGGATTCTTCACCTCAACAGGGTTGGCAGCTACATAGGGTTGTCTGTGGGGATAAAATGACATAATCTATGCAAAGTGCCTAGCACAATGCAAATGCTCAATAAATATTATTGTTAGCTACTAGGATGATGATGATGCTATAAATATCCAGATACTCAAAGTTAAACTTGCCTTTCTCATGGATTTAAATTATTAATTTAAATGATTAGTGAAGAAAATACTAAAAATTTTGTATATATTTAAAAACTGCACACTAACTGCTCAGATAGAACTTTATAACATAAATTTAGTAAACCTATGACTCATTCACCGTACCCTTACAAGGTGTGAGTCATGAAAATACAGAAATAAGAAAGAGAATGTTGCCCTCAACGAGTTTACAAGATAAACACAGATAATTAATTTCAATTATGAGAAAGGTTCATAGAGAAAGGTTTATGGAGAATTCCCTAAGGAACTTGGGGAAGGCTTCTTAAAAACACACTTAAGAGCCTTCTCTTCGAAGATTCTTCTCATCAGGTCACCAACCAGAAATTCCAATCTCTGTCAGTTAGGTCACACACCTACATGCACTTCTCAAATGTTCTTAACATATAAAACGTTACTTCACATCTATGACAATGTTGTTGGATAAAGCTGGCAACAATTACAATGAAATGAGGATCTGAAAAACTTTCAAATGGCTTTGACCTTCTTTCTCAGAAAGAATACTGGAATACTGCTTCTAAGAGGTGTGAAATTGGTGTCCAGTTAAATTACACTTATTACACCTCACAAGTTAGTGAAAGAGAAAATTATCTCAGACACCTAGTGAACTAGCCAATACCTGGGAGGAGAAGGCTCCATTTCCACAAGGGAATATCTAATTGATAAAGAGTTTACTGAAATAGATCCAAGAGGCAAACCAAGAATTGAATGTATTTCACGTGCTCAATGGACTTAGGTTCATATTCTCAAAAGAAATCTGCATCAGGTCAATGAAAGTGAATAGTTCAAGTAATAAGATTATGAGCCATCGAAAAGTGATAACATACAGTTACTGGGTTTGTTAATCCAGCTGATGGGCAGATGGTAATGAGAGCATAGAAATCATCCTTGGGTTGTTTCTAACTCGATGTAACCTCTCCATTAATAATATACCACGTAGCATCTAGTTTATGGTTTCATAACTTCATTGGGTTAAAACAGAGAAAGATGTGTACATAACATATCCATTTTTAAACAACAGGTAACCTGAATTTCACAGTAAAATGATTCTGCAAATTATCAGATTAAAATCAATTTTTCTTAAATTATGTATTATTGCATTCAGTATTTTACCCCTTCTAACACAAAGTGTGTAGAATTTCTAACAGAAATGGCTAGATACACTTTTCACTACCAACATAATGCAAGAAAAACCCTGCATACAATCTGTTGTATTAAGTCTAGAAAATGCTTCACTGTCGGGGCTAAATGGCTCTCAAATATTCCTAGATGAAGTCCCACATGGACAAAATTCAGCTTAGGTTCTTTAGGAATGGCTGTGACAGACAACAACGTGATTTATAGAAATGGGCAGAAGACACCAAGAAGTTGAATAATACTAAAGTAATTTTATAATTACTAATATCTTATACACAATGGAAAAGCAAGTAAATATTCTTTAATGGCAGCAAATTATATTTGTTCAGCTTGTCCCAGTTTTCGAGGAGGTTTTAAATACATCATCTTATCTGGTCCCCCCAATAATTCACAAAGGTGATCAAGGAACAGAGTATACTCTGTACTAATTGACCAACCAAAAACCACAGAGATTAGGTAAATTGTCAGAATCTAGATGACAAAGCCATGCCTCTGACCCCTAGTCCAGCATCCATCCTTTCGATCACATGCTATTATACATGGAGTTATTAAGTATTAACAAATAGTATTGTGATTATTCCACCTCAGGAGCCTTCTAATTTCACCGGTGCTTCTCAGCTTTCAGTAAAAATTTCTAAATAACTACTTTCCAGACTTGTCTTCGAATAGGAAAAAATCATATATATTTTGCCTAATAAGAAGACACTAGCCCGGCTGGTATGGTTCAGTGGTGGAGCGTCGACCCATGCACCAAGAGGTCATTGGTTCAATTCCTGGTCAGGGCACATGCCCAGGTTGCGGGCTCAGTCCCCAGTGGGGGTAGTGTAGGAGGTGGCCAATCAATGTTCTCTCTCACTGATATTTCCATCTCTCTCCCTTTCCCTTCCTCTCTATCAAAAAAGAGAAAAAAATTTTTTAATAAAAAAAAGAAGACACTAACAGCAATGATTTGATATCATCATACTACATCCATCTGATCCCTCCCCGCTTGTTCTAACCTGAGGCCAAAAGCAATAGTGAGAGGCCCAGCAGACAAGTTTAACCTGCCAAGAACAACTCCTTCAGTTCCTTATGCCAATCACTAAGTTATCTGCATCGAACTGGTGAACATATGAGAAATGGGTGAATATTTTTCAGTACTTCTTCTTGTACCTAACAGTGATCAATGACAAATTCAAAAGATACAAATACTCAAAAACACACACGCATTCAAGCATAGCAATCTTTGATGGCAAAGAAAACTCTCTTTGGGTGGGGAGAAAGCAGGTGCTGAGTAAATCACCTCCGAACTTTCACTCCCATTCATTTTATTCAGCAGACGATGGGTAAGCACGGCAGGCACAGCGCTCTGGAGGGCAGAAATAAGTAAGAAACACTGCTGGCTGAGTGGTTACTCGGTGCTGGACACTGTGACAGGTGCTTTATAATTTGGCTCATTGAACAAATTAGTGAGGTAATACTAAAGGTTCAGTAAGGTCCTCCAAGGTACATAGCAGGCAAATGCTGGTTCAGATCCAAGCCAGCTGATGTCAGAGCCTGTGCTCTAAACCAGGGCTCTGCACCTACAACTCCTGGGTCAATTCCAGCTCGCCACCTGTCTCAGTACAGCCTTAAGATGTTACATTTTAACTGTTGGGGGGTGGGGTTCAAAAGAAGAGTGTCTCAGACTTCAGTGTCCACAGACTGAAACACGGTCACATTTGTTCATTGACATATTGGCTATGGCTGCTTTCACATTACAATGGCAGAGTTGAGAGGCTGTGACAGAATCACACACAGCCTGCAAAGCTGAAAATATTTACTATCTGGCCCTTCACAGAAATTGTGCTGACCTGCTCTAAGCCATTCCACTTTAAGCTGACTTAACATCTCTATTTGGATGCCTTAGGAAATATCCCACTCTTAACATACCCCAATTCAAACTCCTGATTTCCTCCACTACACACACCCAGATCCCTATTTTAAGTCTTTCCCTGTGGAAAATCCATCCGATGTAAAAACCACAGACCCAGAGTATCTTTGAGTTCTTTCTTTCACTCATGCTGTCAGCAAATCTGGTCAGCTCTGCCTTTGAAATATCCAGACATGTTTCCTTCCTTCCACTGCTCAGCTCCCGGGCCCGAGCCTTCAGCATCCCTTTTCTGAATTGCTGCCATAACCTCTTACAAGGACTTTTGCTTCATTTCTTGCTCAAGACAGCAGCCAGAATACTCTTCTGCTCCCAAACCTCCTGGCCTTTCTAAACCTGCCAATCACACTCCTGCTCCGGAGTTCTGGGGCTCCCCCACTACAGCAGGTCTCTTCCCAAATGCCATGCTATCACACAGGCCGCCTCCTGCATCCGACCCCGCATCTCCACTGCTAGGCCCTGGGACGCCCTTTCCCTTGCGTTACTGCTGGCCACATTATTTCAACCTCCCACATAATACATATACTGGATTTTAATGTAGGCTCCATGCGGCAGAAGTTTGGTTCATTTTCTTCAATAGTGTACCTCTGGCATTACACCAGGTCCTGACATACATCAGGTACTGAAGCGCCTGCCAAATGAAAGAGAAAACGGCCCCTCCATTCAGGAAGCGCCCCATTCCGTGACACACCGCGACAGCCGAACATCTTCAACATATAAATGATTGTACTAAATGGGGCTTAATAACATATTTCTTATTTTACCTACTCTGTTATTAAACACCCTATTCTAAACAAATCAATTGCTGGGTGCCTCAATCAAAGGGGAAAGGAAGCTAGCTTGGTAATATCACGGTCTATGCATGAAATTATTCCAGACAAAGCTACTTGACTGCACGGGGCACTGGTTACATGCTCATTCTTACCTTGTTTCAGCCGTAATTCTCTCCTTTGCTTCTCTGTCAAATTCTATGTCCGTGTTGACTACAGGTACTACCTCAACTCCTCCTCCTAACTCTTCTTCCTAAGCCCTACTGGTCAGCTTCTGTCTACCACTCTTGAAAGAGACATTTATTTCTTAGCCACAAATGCAGTGAAAGTGAGTTTTCACAGAGACAATATATCCTTTAAAACACTATCATTTCTAAGAATGTGTTCAAGTTTGGGAGAGTTAAGAGTGAACACTCTAACAGAACTGTGCACTTGAAATTTATATAATGTCATTAACCAATGTCACCCCAATAAATTCAATAAAAATGTTTTTTAAAAAAGAAAGGGGAAAAAAACAAACGAATGATGATGATAATAAAAATAAATAATAATAAAGAGTAGCACTCTCTTGTGTGACCTAGAGGCGGTGCAGTTTCTACACATTTAAGGGGAAATATTTGAGGAAGTTTTGTGAGTAGTAAAATGCATCAATGAATCAACAATGCCACCATACTCAAAACCATCACAGGAGAAATGACACTTTCTTGTGATAATGATCTACCTGGCTCACTGAACAAATCAGTGAGGTAATGCTAAAGGATCTTCACTTCTTGGTCACTTTTTAACTCAGAGAAACAGTTACAATTTTAATTTATTCATTTTTAAAATAAATATAAGGGAAAGCTACAGATGTGGTAATAGACGAGAATCAATGACAAGAAAGAGTCATACCCTCTCTTCCAGTCTAGCCAGCTGCTCTTTGTAGAATGCATCCTGCCTCTTTATCACTCGATCTTTCTGTTCCAGCAGCTTAGCCTAAAATAAGAAATGAAGAATATACTATTTTAGGAAAAAGCAACAGCAAAGCGAAAGTCAAGTATAAATTACATTAGAAATAAGTATATAAAGCTTAAGACTTCTGCAAACTATTAGGTCTCTTCCATAGAAAAACATTAATAAGATGATGATTGCTGTATTTAAATGTAAAGGAAGAGTCTATATATTTTTTTTTTTTTTACTGTAACAGCTGTGTCCTACTTTGTCTAAATGTATCATGATATAGCACAGACAGTTTTATTCAACTTCTCTTTTGGAGAGTAATTTCCAGGATTAATATTTTGCACAATAACGCTTTGATTTTAATCTGGGCATAAGACGTAAGACATATGGTTATTAACCTTTTCGGAACAACAAAACAATGCCTATGTAACATTATATACATAAACCTTATACTTGAAAACCCTTAAATTACCCAGTGAAACCTGAATATAAATACATGTATTGATCTATTTCCTTTTTTATGAAGCAGCTGTCTTTGGAGGGAGGGCCAAAAACTACTATAAATGTGTATGTAAATATTAAAAATTAATAATACAAATAATGAAAGTACTTTAAAATCTCAGTTTTCCCACTTCTAATTTATAAGATCTTTTTTACAAAATAAAAACACAATATTTTTTATTCCTAAAACACATAATGCTAAAAATGGTAACTTACGTCTTTCTGCATTAGTAAAATAATGCATTTTTCAAACTGTTATTTGTATCTTAATCATTATGTTTAAGTGGCCTTTCTCTGAGGATACAGAACTCCTTATATCACCCCTAGTTAGAAAAGTTTTAAGCATATTTTTTGTTCGGTGAATGCTGAATACACACCTAAACAGGAATTTTAAGAAATTACGAAAAGATGTATTTAGGCATTGTCATCCTTGGGCCACACACCATTTCTTTTGTGTTTTTTGTTTTTGCAAGGTGTTAAAGGTCACCCGCCTCAACCCCTGTAAGGGTTCCTTCCATTATCTTGCTTAGTTTAAGAGAACCCCTTTGCACATATGTAGGTAATGTTTTGCTACTTACTTTGACATCAATGTCCTGCAGCATGTTAAAAACAAACAAAGAGTTATTTAGTAATACAAGTACTGTAGTTTTCTAATGTCAGAAAGAAATCTGATGCATAATATCTACCTAAAATGCAAACCAAAGGAGGCAATCAGGGGGAATAGAGAGACCTGCATAACTTGAGACACATTTAAATGTGACTAGGCTATTAGTTTAAACAGAAGATTTCAATAAAAAGGGCATGCTACTTGAAAGCATATGAATAAATAAACACAAATACAATAATAAGATTCGATAAGCCAGGTTGGTGTGGCTCAGTGGTTGAGTGTCAACCCACGCACCAAGAGGTCACTGGTTCAGTTCTCGGTCAGGACACATGATGGGGTTGTGGGCCAATACCCAGTAGGGGGCGTGTAGGAGGCAGCCGATGGGTGTTCTCTCTCATTGATGTTTCTATCTCTCTATCCCTCTCCCTTCCTCTCTAAAATAAAAAAAAATTAAAAAGAAAAATTTGATAAAAATACATTCATATGTAAATACATAATATATGGCTTCTTGGTACAACACAGTAAAAACCTGTCAATTTGTCAAGAATATAAAAGAAAAAGTATATGGAGAATGTTTAACAAAGCTAAGTGTGGAGCCCTGGCCAGTTTGGCTCAGAGGTTAGAGCATCGGACCGCAGACCAGAGTCCCGGGTTCGGTTCCCACTAAGGGCACGTACCTCGGTTGCAGTTTGTCCCCGGCCCCGGTTGGGGTCGTGTGGGTGGCAACCAGTTGATGTGTCTCTCTCACGTCGATGTTTCTCTCTCTCTCTCTTCCTCCCTCTCTCCCTCCCGCTGTCTGAAGATAAATGTAAAAATGTCCCCGGGTGAGGATATATATATTTTAAAAAAAGCTAAGTATGGAGAAAATAAGCATGACTATACATACATACATATATGTATGTGTGTGTATATATATATCTTCTATAGAGAAAAGACCTTTGTAAATTCAACACAGATACACAAAATATAAAGCAAATGAAAAAGAATAAACTTATAAGACCCTCCATAAAAAGTAAAAATCATTAAACCAAATGAAATGCAAATGATGAAAAGAGGAAATGCTATTCCAACATGTAGCTGTGATAGTTAATGTTACATAGAGAGCATTTAAAAAAATAAGCCCTCTACCCCATCCACAAAAGACATAGACTGGTAAATCACACACAAAAATACAAAAAATAAACACATGGAAAAAGAAAACTGAACCCCAGAAGAAATCAAATAATAAAAAATGAAATAATGAAATACCATTATTCATCTATTGAAATGACAAAAATATAAAATAATATTGTTAAGGACACCGGAAGCAGGCTCTTCTATACACAGTTGGTGTGAATGGAAACTAATATATAACTACTTTTTAACAATTTGACAAAATCTAATAAGGCTTTAAAATGTACACATTCACTGAGATCTAAACACTATTTTTTAGAACTTTTTTTAAGTAATTATAGCAATTTGCAAAGATGTTCATGATAGCATTGTTTAGGATTGCAAAGAAACAAAAAACCCAATCTAAGCCCTGGCCAGTTTGGCTCAGCGGTTAGAGCATCGGCCTGCGGTCCGGAGAGACCCGGGTTCGGTTCCCGCTAAGGGCACGTACTTTGGTTGCAGTTTGTCCCTGGCCCTGGTTGGTCGTGCGGGTGGCAGCCACTCGATGTGTCCCTTTCACATCGATGTTTCTCTCTCTCTCTCCCTTCCTCTCTCTCCCTCCTACTCTATCGGTACAAAAAATGGAAAAATATCCTCGGGTGAGGATTAAAAAAAAACAAAAAAAAACCAATCTAATTATTAAATACAAACATATTCCAAATATATTAAGTATAAAAAAAGAAAAAGACTATAAACAGAAAAGACAGTATGATTTCTTTTTTTTAATAGGAAATAGGAAAAAAAAAGACCAAAAGGATATTCAACAAAAATATCAGCAGAGGTTATATAGCAGGATGGTTTCTAGTTAATTTTGCTTCTTTATATTTTCTAAATTAAAAATAAACATACTTTGTAGTCAAGGGACACAGGAGGCAATTCTTTTGAGGTGAGGGAACTATTCTGTTTCTTGATTGTGGTGGTAGAAAACTTGTAAAACTGTAATATTACAAAGAATAAATTTAACTACATAGTGAATACAAATTAAGTATACTAATATTTATGAAAATATCTGCATATAAATATATGAATGCATGTGTACATATATATCTTTATTACTGTTCATCTGCTTATCACTTGGCTAATTTTACTTCTAGGAATTTAATCCTAGGAAATACTGAGAAAATCATACAAGGATGTCTATCTAAGAAAATGCAGCCAGCATTATTTAAAGCAACAAGCAAGTGGGATTGGGTAAATAAGATTTGGTCCAAAAACAGGATATTGATCATACAGACTTTAGTCCAGCCATAATGATCAAACATTATGAGTTATTAAAAACAATGTTTTACTAGAATAATTAAATGTTTAACTCAGAATGTTATGGGGAGAAAACAGGTCATAAAATGGCATATATAGCAAGTTCCTAATTTTGGTTAAGAAATAGGGGTTATGGGGCAAAAGGGAGGAACAGGGGAAGCTGAGTGCCAAATACAGACATGGGAAAAAATATAAAGTATGCTAAGATGTTAACAGTGCATATGATATGCATAGGGGATATTTTCCTTATTTGGATTATTTTCTATTTTCCAAGTTTTCTTTTTTTTATTATTTATTTATTATTTATTTATTTACTTTTTATCCTCACCCGAGGACATTTTTCCACTTTTTGTTCAGGTAGAGTGGGAGGGAGAGAGAGGAACAGAGAGCGACAGAGAAACATCGATGTGAAAGGAACACATCGAGTGGCTGCCACCCACACGACCGACCAGGGCCGAGGACAAACTGCAACGGAGGTACATGCCCTTAGCGGGTACCGAACCCGGGTCTCTCTGGACCGCAGGCCGACGCTCTAACGGCTGAGCCAAACTGGCCAGGGCGTATTTTCCAAGTTGTCTGTAATGAACAATTATTTCTTCTGTAATCAGAAAAATATTCTAAACATTAATATCACATACTTATCCCTGAGATAAAAATATATATAAAGCTGACAGTGCGAGCTATTAATTAACCCTATTAAGAACCAGAAACATTTGTTTTAATAACATGAACAGTTATTTACAATACAGCATGGAAATTATTTTACCTACTAAATCCTTAATGCATCGACACTTGATTCTCGCTCCCATTCAATAAATGATATTATCCACCATGGTTCTTTTTTTTTTTTTTTTTTTTTTTGTTCAGGTAGAGTGGGGGGGGGGAGAGGAACAGAGAGAGAGAGAGAGAGAAACATCGACGTGAAAAGGACACATCGAGTGGCTGCCACCCGCACAACCAACCAGGGCCGGGGACAAACTGTAACCGAGGTACATGCCCTTAGCGGGAACCAAACCCGGGTCTCTCAGGACCGCAGGCCGACGCTCTAACCGCTGAGCCAAACCGGCCAGGGCTCCACCATGGTTCTTAAGACACTTGCACTAAATGTTTCTTTTGTTCGGTACAGTTGCAAAGTGAGTTATTAAAAATTCAGCATTACAAGAATATTGCTTGAGCCTACTGAGGGTTCCACCAACTAACAAATTTAATTTTGAAGGACGGATGACAGCCTAAATAAAGTATCCTCGTTTACATTTTCAAATGTAATCCTTGAAAATTTTAATGCAACATGCCAGATCCAATATTCACACTACAGAGGAACTACTCCAAAGACCGGAAAACACCAAACTGCAGTCTAGCATCACAAACCTTCCCCTAGATGGCCAACAGAATCAATAGTTTGAGATCACTGGGGAGAATAACAAAGCGAGAAACATGGGCACAACACTTCAATGGCACACTGCTTTGAAACAGTTAATGTGATGCTGGGAGGGAAAGTCACACAATATGAATCCTAAAACTTAAATAAGCCTGGAATACATTGACTAAGCTAATAGCTGCCGAGGATGGAGAGTCACACTCACTGAAGGAAAGCAGTCAACCAAGTGCAAGGAAATAAAACTTCTATGTGTAAGTCTAACAGGTACAGAATCATGGTAAGTGAATAAAAACAAAGAGGATCACAACATGATTTACCGTTCCAGTAGAATCGTTTCTTGGAGAAAATGAATATAAAAAGACTCCCCCCACCTCCCGTTTGCTATTCCTCCCGCTACACGAAATGTGCAGTGACTAGTTTTCAGACCCTGTTAGATCTGGGCTGAGATGATTGGCTTGGAAACATGACAGAGCTTACGTGAATCATTATGGAAAACTAGAACGTTCCATATGCAAGAGAAGCAAAGAAAATAAGGAGATGAAGTTTTCTTTAAGAACCCCAACACATAAACATGTTGGCAGCTAGATTAAAAAAGAAGTATATAAGTATTTACTTCCTTAAGACTTGCCTCTTTTCAGAAAAGATTGAAAAGTTTACGTACTTACCAACCCTCTCTTCATTCATTGTTGGTTTTACTTTACTTTATGGCCTATGCTTTCTTTTTTTCAAGAGAATAAGTAGATATGCCCCAAAGTGGCAGAGGACATATTTTGAAAATGTCCTTGAAAGTGCTTAAAACAAAGGATATAAAAAGGCCAACAGAAGAAAAAACTGGATCATGGATACGGCACATTGTGCTGGTAGGAACTTTACCTTCCCCTGTACGCTCCTATGTAAATCTTCACAGCAAAAACACTCTGGCATGGCAGCTCAGGGGTCAGGCCTGGTTGCTCCTGGGCACAGAGGTATCCATTGCTCAGGGTACATGGCATCTGGAACCCAGGGACATCACAATCTTGTAGCTCGGAAGTAGTACTGTTACTTCATACACCAAGTACAGCGCATGTTAAGGACAGATTCTGTACTATGGAAAAGCTTACACATTTTAAAAGACAAAGTTGCTTGAAATATCAGTGTTCACTTTTAATAGCTCAAGGTAGAAAACAAAGCAAGAACCTGCTCAATTTTCCATGGGGTGA